AGGTCCAGGCCAATGAGAATCGTGATAGATAAGGAATTGTACACCTGTACCATGGAATAGGCTGGAGTGGAGGGAGTGGGGCAGGCAGTAAGGAACCACAGTCGGCACTTGCACACCATGACTCATACAAATCCCAACAACACATACACACACAACACAAATATTCCAATAACTTAGTCTGACTGTCCTTTTGTGTCTTCCTGTAATGTTTCCTTCCTCCCCTGTCCCATCCTCCTCCAATCCTTATAGGACTTGGTGAAGTCTCACCTCATGTTTGCAGTTCGGGAGGAGGTGGAGGTCCTGAAGGAGCAGATCCGAGAACTTGCTGAAAGAAATGCAGCCCTGGAGCAAGAGAATGGATTGCTCCGGGCTCTGGCCAGCCCTGAACAGCTGGCCCAACTTCCGGTCTCTGGGACCCCTCACCCTGGACCCCTTGCCCCAAATGGGCCCTCCTCATGAGCCTCCCTTCCCTCACAATGTGCCTTTCAAGGGCTGTCACTGGGATGGATACCTCGGTGTCCTAGATTCCCAGGCCTTTTTTGCCTTCTCTTCCTATGCAGCTTTAATATCATGAGAAGTGGTGATAGAGGGTTCGAGGTTGAGTTCAGATTTGTCTTCCCCCTCCCCACCTTCCACCAGACCTAAGGGGCTGGGCCAATTTTCTCCAAAGATGAGGGGCTAGGCCAGAATATACCTAGGCCTGGATGGGGTAGGGTTTCAAGGTTGAGGTGCAAGATGGAGCCCATCTCTGAGAATGGGCTCCCAGCCAACCTTTCTCTTGCCATTCCTCTGGGTGGTAAGTGGCCCCCTCCCTGCCCAGTTCTCTCAGTATCTGGGAGCCCCCCTGATTAGGAGGACCCAGAGGGAGCTGGGTACTCTAGGCAGAGACCACTTCCCTATCTCCCAAAGTCCCTCCATTGGGTTCATCCAATAGAGGGGATATAGGCAATGTCCCAAAGTTTCTGGGATTCAGGTTGTTATTAAAATATTATAATAAAAAATCAGAAGAAACTTGGGTGTGGGGGCTGAATTCTCTTTGCCTGGGCCAGGGCTATGGGTTTCAGGTATTCAAACATTCCAGAGACCTGTCTGTTCTGTCCCCCTCAGTACTGGTCAGGATTAAAATAGAAACCTATGAAGAAAAATGAGGCATAAGACATTAAGTGTCAGATATGAAGAGAAATTGATACACAGAGACAAACAAGATTCAGTCAGACCAAATCAGAAATGGGTCCTGGGAAGGGACAGAGGCGGTGGAGAAGGCTTTCCCTGGCTGGAGGAGTGGCTTATGGGGGTGGGTGGGGTAAGGGGGGGAAGGGAAGGAGACTGGAGAGGAGAAAGCCCACGTGCTATGGGGGTGGTGGAAAACAATGAAGCCTTTGGCGATTATGCCATATCCACCCCCCAGCTTCCCAGCGTGTTCCCTGCTGGGTTGGGGCAGCTATGGGGGTTGGGGGTGAATGGGCCCCTTGTCTTTGTGCTGGGCTCAGGCCAGGCTCCTGGGGCACACGGAGCCTGTGCCAGGCTTGGCAGAGAGCCTCAGCTTCTCCCCCTCCCCTCCCCCAATCCCAGCCGTGTTCAGACCCCTCCATCCCTGTTCCTACTAGTTGCCAGCCTTAGCCACAGTCCTAGAACCTGTCCCCTTGAGGAATTGTCCCTGGCCTCTGACACTGTTGGGAGGAGAGATTCTGTCTGTTTAAGAGGAAAAGGGGGTGCTTAAGTTTCCAAGGGTTTTTGGAGAGAGCTAAGGACCAGAAAGCCAAACAACAGGATCCTGAGGTGGGAGCAGGGATGAGTCAGGGGTTGGAGAGCAGGTGATTCATCTGAGTTCTGGGAGAGAAGTTGGGGGAAGGGGGACAAATACTTGAGTCCTAGGAGGCTGAGAACTAGCAGATCTCGCTGGTTTGAGCCTCGATTTGAGTCCTGCAGTGATTTTCCCGAGAATTGGGTTTGAGGAATAGGGTCGAGATTGAAAGGGGTACACAGGGGAAAGTAGATTAGGATATGGGGGACATGGGACTAGGAACTGGAGACAAAGATAAGGGCCCATGATCAATTGTAATGATTAGGAGTAGAGAAAGAAGGGAGATCTAAGGGATGGGATGCCTGGCATCCAGAGGGAATCCAGGACTAAAAGTGAGGAGTGAGGCTGAAGGCCTGATAGCTAGGTTCCAGGCAGGTTCTCACAATGGGATTAGAACTCCCCCATCCTGTGGGTTCTAAGGCAGCCCTCCCCCCACCTATCCACTCTGACTCCTCTCCTAGTGGAGGGGTGGAGGACAGGAAGAAGAGGTGGGGGAAGGGTTATGCTCTGAATTTCCCTATTCCTTTTCCTATTAGTGTTCCTCTTCACCTTTCTAACTCTTCTGGTCCCGTCTAGGGCAGAGGCCACTGGCAAAGTGCCAGTGTCCTTGCCCCGCATCATCTGCTGGCTCTGTTAAGCCCCCTTCTCCTGGGTCCTGGGCTCAAGAGTGTTGGACATGTGTTTTTCGTGGCTATATCGTCTTTGGGAGAAGTTGAAGTTGCTGGTGAGTTCTGAGCATCCTTTTTTACTGCCTTGAGAGTCTGGATGCTCTCCTTGTTCCGTGATTTCAGGGTTTGTCAGTATCCCTTGGCTCAACTAAGATCTCTACCCACCTTCCAGGCTATGAGAAGAGGAAAGCCTTTGAGGCCAAGAACACCAGTGGTGTGTTGGGGATAGGGGACCAATGGAAATGGGCCTAAAGAAGAGGATGTGAAGCTCCCTCTATGTCTTTCACTTTCCCTTGTTCTCACTCTAACCTGTGCCCCTATTCTTAGTTCTTCCCCTGGAGAGATATCCAGTTTTCTATCCTGATGACCTCTGGCTCCACAGAAAAAGTGTTAAAAGAGATGGGAGAGCCAAACAGGGTGGTAAAGGAGAATGTGAGGGGCCAGTCGAGAATTCTGCTTCAGATGCCCCAGACAGCTATATATAATGTCACCAGTTTCATGGAATCCTTCCTGCATTTTGGTAGGAAGTTTGGGATGGGAAAGGTCAGTATCCTTGTCTCCATTCCTTTGGGAAGTGTGGTATATATGTGGGTACTGTTTTTGGTGTTGATGGGGGAATCCTGTCATGTATGATCCTGGGCAAAGCAATCTGCCGCAGTTTCCACGGTCCAGTAAGGTTATGGTAATCCACTTTTCCCCCAACCCAAATAACATTTTTCTCATTCTAGTTAGCTTCTTCTCCCCTCCCCAGATCCAGACAGCTGGGTAGTACAGAGAATAGAGCCATGGGCCTAGAGTGAGGAAGAAATGAATCCAAAGCCAACCTCAAATAGCTTACCAGCTATGTGATCCTGGGCAAGTTACTCTATTTGCCTGTTTCCTCATCTGCAAAATGGGGATAATAATAGCACCTACCTCCCAGGGTTGTTTCAAGCATCATTGTACGTAGTAAGCACTGTGTAAATGTTAGCTGTAATCATCAGTTGTTTCTTCCCGGGCTGTGCCCCATCCTTTCTCCCCTTCTCTTTCTCCCGTACAGATTGGTTCTTCACAGCCTTCTTCACTGGGGCTTCCACAACACGTGGATGCAAAAGAGGAAGAGATGCTGAGGGATCTGTATGTGGTGCTTTGGGCAGTGAGGGAGCGGATCCGGGAGGTAGTACGGCGGCAGGAGATTCGGAAGCGGCTGCGTTCCCGACCCCTTGTCTCATCACCTCGAAGCCCTGAACTGGATGCCCGCAGTCCCCTCTAGGGGACCCCAAACCCTCAGGCAGCCGTTCTCCAGGACGGAGGCTGGAGTCCCGCAGACCCCTTGGGATGAGGGATGGGTAGCACTTTACAATGTTTATTCAGATTAAGTAGAGTCCTGAATTAAATGAGAAATTTGTTTCTGAAGTCCTAACCAATGCTGTGTGGAGGGGCTGAAGTAGGAGCGGGGAGGAGTCTGGAGTTGCAACATCGCGGGGGGAGGGAGGGTCAAGGTGAGAGCTAGGCATAGAAGGGTGAGGGCGGGGGCCAGTCAGAACGCTGTGGGTTGGTTGCACACTCCCCTAAAGTTGTTCCTCTTCTCCCTAAAGGAGGATTGAGGAGGAAGTAGTGATGCACACAGTGGTCCTAGGGTGGGGCAGAAGAGGTGTGTGTCACTGAGGAAGAGGGGCTTGCTCTAAGGTGGGGAGCTTTCCCTACGCCAGCCTCACCACTTTATGCTAACAAAGGGTATCTCAAATCCAACTCCAGCGCCTCCTGCTGAGATTTCAGGAAACTACAATCCCCAACCCCCTTACACCGGCTGGATGTTCCGGGTGGAGGAGCAAGCGTGGTACCTCTCTCTCTTCCTCCAACCTCTTCTCCCAACATCCTCACTCTTTTTAGTCATTTTCTGCTAGGGTAGGGTGGGAACTTTTCAGCAGCTGGTGTTTCGAATCCTCCTGGGAGCTATAGAAGTCCCACTCCATCTCTCTCTCTTTCTCTCTCTGTCTTTCTCTCCCCCCCTCTTTGCCTTTCTCTCTGTCTCTGTGTCTTTGCCTCCATCT